AGATAATTTCAAATAATCCCTAAAATTACATTTAAATTACCTATCTCTATCATTAATTTATTATGAAAGATAATTTAAAATACCCACCTAAATTTATATATAAATAGCCATATTTGGTATTACTTCTTAAGTTTATATCTAAATTTAAAGTATATGAAAGATAAAATTTAAGGTAACTTCTTAATTTTGCATCTAAGTTATCCAATTGGAGCATGAAGTCTGTCTATTGACAAAGTGTATACTACCTCCATTTTCTTTTATAAGGCGCATGTGCATATCAAGATCCAAACATTAAAAATATTTGACCAATAATTTTGCCAACAATTTTTAGTTATTATAACATAAACTTGATATGGTTAGATTTGTAATTAAATCTACTATCAAGTTATCAGAAGTTTATAAATATAAATAATATAAAATAAAATAAATAGGTGATCAAAGTGTAATTTAAAGAGCATGTCATGTCAAGCCGTGTCTTATAGAAGAGGATGGAGTATTAATTTTACCCTTTTCGCTGCCTAGTTCATCCGGCGCGAGGCAAGAACGACGAGCAGCCATTTTTGCTGGTGCTGCTGCGGTGCACAACTGCTTGATTGCGTCTCCCGGTCCCATGATGCCGTGTGACCGATAGTGGCAGTGCAGGCCGGCAGATTGGAGCATGGAGCTCTCGGAAATTGGAATCCTTGCTGTGCTACGGTGCTCCTATTGTGGTCACGTTTTGACTTGCGAATGACGAGGCAACCAACTCTGCACATTGATTACGCCGGCCTTCCTCTCTTCTCTAGCTAGAGGACACATTTCGTGCATCAAGGCAAGCGCGAAGCTCCCCAAGTCTGACCAGAGGGAAAAACGCACGAATGCTCGGCGAGGATCGCCACTGAGAGCATCAAGGAGTTTGTCAAATTTTACTTCGTAAATCTTATAATTTGTCAACTTCTAAAATTATATGCTAAATAAAAAAACAATCCATTTTCAAAAGTTTGGTATTTTTGACTTGGTAAAATTAAAAAACCCGTTAACAAAACAAAGAGGCCCGCTAAGTGAACGAAAAGCCCCGCTAAGCGAACGAAAAGCCCCGCTAAGAAACGAAGAGCCCCGGATGTCAAGCCGTATACGCGCGCGGAGGGAAAATTTGCCAAGTTGCTATTGATGCCAAGTTGTTTTGCCAAACTGTTGGAGGCTATTTTTTCTTGTTTTGTCAAAATTATATAGATGCCAAGTTAAGATAGCAAACTTTCGGAGATGCTCTGACGCGCCCAGCCCAGCGCACGTCGCACAAAGCTGAGAGTCTCAGCTGAGTATGGAGATTAAGAGCGTGTTTGGCAGGGCTCTGGCTCATCTGAAAATGGCTCTGGCTCTGGCTCCTCTGAAGGAGCAAAGCTGAAGCTGTTTTGGGAAAACGTTTGGTAAAACGGCTCTTTTGCACTAGACGACGTGAACCCACAGCAAGGAGCCGCGCAAAGCTCGTTTTTGAGGCTTCTCCTGCGCAGGCAAAAAATGGCTCTGCCTCTTGACCGGCTCTCTATGCGGAGCCCTTTCCAAAACAGACGTTTGACACAGCTCCTGCAGGAGCCGGAGCTGAAGCTCCTGCAAAGCCATGCCAAAGAGGCTCTAAGATGTAGATTAAGTGAGATTATACTTTAGAAAAATGATGTTGTTTATTTACTCGTGTGAATGGATGCGTGTAATCCGTCTAGCATATGAGAATGACTATCAGACTTTTCGTTTGGTTGGGCTGGTTCGTTGTTGATTCGTAAAGAAAATTGTTGTGTGAGAAAAAAATATTGTTTCCAGCTAGAAATTTACGATCGTTTCACCCCAGCCAAACAGTCTGTATAGACCTTGTACTGGGCAGGGCCTGGCTGACGAATAAAGCTTAAACCAGGCATATAATAAATAAGGCAGATACAGTGAAACCGGTCGTCCAAATACGCTTCTTCAAAAGTTTATATGCACCTCCAATCTGAAAGCCTAGCGGACATTATAGGTGGCGGCGAAAAGCCAAACATTTCTTGCCCGCTTACGACGGAACGGAGCTTGTACGTAGCTTCAGGGCCCCGCAAAGAACAAAAATCCACAAAGAGGATATTTCGGCCCAATTGGCTATTAGCCTATTACCCAGATTGCTCCGCCGCATGCGGCCGACCGTCGGCGGCCAACGTATGCCTTTCCCGGCTCCCCTCTTCTCTTGTTCCGTGATTGCGAATGAGTGCTCTGGAAACTGGAATGTCTGAATCTGTATCTGATACGGTTAAGGGAGCGACGCAGTTCAGGGTTCTTTGTGTAAAACATGGGACGAATGCATGTGTTGTTTCAATTTTTAATACTTCTGGCGTGGAAAAAAAAATCTGGCTAGTAAAACGTTCATTCATTCAAAAAAAAAATGCAATGCAACGTAGCTGCGGGCGAGCTCGGCAGCCCATTACTTGCGTGCGCTAGTAATTGCGGGCTGGGCTGTCTGCTGCATTCCGTAATGACCCCGCATGCATGGCCTGCGAACAGAGATGCACTAGGCCGAATACGTATGGGCCGAACAGAGATGCACCATGGCTCTTGCATTTGCTGTTTTTCATCAAGAAGGAAACAAACAGAGAAGAAGGGCAGCCGAGCAAGCCCGTAAATGCCTCACGTTTACTTCAAACTCTCTTTCATTTTTCTTCAAAAATATAAGATTTTAGAATGTGCGTGTGTAGCTTAGTGGTAGGAGCTCGACTTCACATAAAAGCCACTCCTTTTACTATTTAATAGTTAAGGTTTATGGTTTTTTGTTGACATTATTGTTGAGACTTCTTTTTAACGATGGAATATGAAATATTTCGCGGTAGACTTTTTCCTAGGGTCGGCGTATTTGGCCTAGCGAAGATCATGCCTTTTTAAAAGCACGAGCACCGAGTAGTCAAATATCGAAATTGCTCGGTTGCTTCGCCCCTTTCTCGTCTGTGCTAGCGAAGGAAATCCTTGCTTTCACGGGTAACAAAGCAATCAACGAGTGATCCAAACACCGTTCACTATTCTAGCTTCTTGTCGGGCTAGGCAAGGATCCAAGCACACAGGTTCTTACCTTACCCGGCCATGCAAGGATCCACAAAATATTCAAATGTCCTTCAAGTCACCTTAGGCTCCTTATTGTCGCCGAGCACATCGTGTAGCCTTAAAATAATAATTAACGGAAAATATTATGCAAGCATCCGTGCAAAGCTGGGTGGACAGGCTTTATCACAAAAGTAAGTAAGTGAGATAAGCTTTTTTTTCCTATGTTTTATGTTTTCTCTTTTGTTATTTCATTTTTGGGGACTCAAATAAAAGTGTGTTTTTTGTGAGAAAAGAAAAGTGTACTTTTAGAGATATCATTTCACCTCATTGCATAAAAACAAGATTAACCAACGTCCATTTATTAATGCACCAGGATGACGCCTCGTATGGCTGTCGGAACGTCCGGCGTCCGGACGTCCGGCCAGAGGTAGCGTTCAGACATCCACGCCTGCTTCATATGGGGTCCGTGTCGCTTGGCGTCCCGCGCCCGTACCGTGGCGCCCCCTCCACACCAACGCGCATGTTAGGCGAGCCCAATAACTGCAGCAGACCGCTGCTGCAGATGGGTCCCACTGTATCATGTGCAACACCAAGATCTACTTTACAATATCTAGATAAAACACTTGTAATATATGTCCGAAACAATTAAAGCACTTACAACATACGTCTGAAATACCATGAAAACACGTTTGTAGTCATTGCAAAACATATGCAACATCTAGATAAAACACTTGCAACATATGTATGAAACACATGAAACACTTAAAACATACGCTTGCAACATGCATGTATATGCAACATCCAGATCTACTTTTGCAACATCCAAATGAAACACTTGCAACATACGTCTGAAACAGAAGAACATTTGGGACATACACTTGAAAACACCATTGCAACATGTGCAATATCTCGATCTACTTTTGCAACATCGATATAAAACACTTGCAACATACCTCTGAAATATTTGAAACACTTGAAATAAATGCTTGCAACATGTAGTTTTAGCGCAATATGTTCTTGCTGCTTGGGAGAATGGATCCTCGTCAGTGTGTGGAGTTCTATCCCGGCCGCCGCAGGCTACACGCGGGTGAGTTTTGCCCCGACCATGGCGGACTAGGTAGGCGGGTGCGAGATGTGCATGGACGGGCTTCGCGCGGGCTGCACGTGGACGAGCTTCACACCCGGCCACAACGAGCGGGGCAAGTGGAGGCAGAGGTCTTCTTGGCCGCCGACCAGGCGTCTGCCCCGTGGTGGAAGCGGTAGCGGTCTCCTTCACCATGGGCGGGCGGCGCAGCGCGACCAGTGGATCTTGTGCGTACGCGGCTAGCGGTGGCGCTCGTCCGGACGTGGGCGCTAGCTGAGCTCGTACCTACGCGACCGAAGGGTGGGCGGTGCGGTGGAGCCGATGCAAATGGAAATATAAGATGTCGCTCTCTTTTTATTTTTTATTTTTTGAAGAAACCGTGTATGTCGATGAGGGGAGAAGGCCAGTGGGCCGGTCTGCAGCCTAGCTAACCGTGTCCGGATTAACCGACGCAGAACGAATGCCTGTGGTGGAGCATTAGCGCTATACAAATCATCATAGATAGTGGTAGGAATACTAACAGATTTACCTATAAATCCACAAATAGATCTAATTTTTAAAGTGTTACACACGGTAATTCACAAAACTTGGCTTATTTATGGGTCTGCGGGTAAACTCGCTCGCATGTCCGCATGCCATCCAGCCAGATTCGAGCATCTGCATAGAGACGCCTTCGTATCACTATCACCACCGTCTGGGCCGGCACAAAAAGGCGCAACGTGGCGGACATCATCCATCTGGGCCATCGGCCGGCCGGCGACGACACCAACGCTCTAACAGGTGGGTCTAGGCTACTCATTACCGCGGGCCCGGCGCCCGCACGCCACCACTGGGCTGACGCTGGGCGGGGACGGTCCACCAAGACCGTGATTACGCGACGGCAATGGTGGCGAGGCGGCCATTCCAATTTCCTGGCAAAGCGGTGGCCGCGCTTCCTTCCTCAGTCCTCACTCGGCCCCTTCTGGCTTTCCAGCTTCGCCAAATCTATCCGATCTGCGCAGCGATCTCCCCGGCCTGCGCACGAGGTTAGCTTCCTCCTCCGCTTCCTAAGTTCCGGCAGACTCGTTTATTCAATATGTCTGCGCTCAAAATGTGCCGGGAATGAGATGGGTGCGAGGCTGGGAGTAGCTTTATCTGTGGCTTGTAGCGACTCGGGAGGTTTTGTGGTGTGCATCAGAGGAATTGGGGCATAGATTGCTGGAAGAGATCAGTCTGTTTTTTTTTTCTGACAGGAAGAGGTTGATCTGTTTTTTTCATGGGAGATGAATCTGTATGTTAGCGTAGGATAATCATGTTTAGTGTTGGTCCTTTGGGCCCCTGATTGGAGGATTGGAAAAGGATCTTGATTAGTTGTGGCCTTAGCAGTTTAGCTCATCAGTTGTGTGCTCATAGTCTGAAATTGACATTGTGTGTTATTGTAGTTGTAGTGTGGTGCATTTACATGGAACCTGATGAAGTGATATTCTGTGAACTTCCTTTTTAGGTGCTTGTGAGCATGTATCTGCTAGGCAACAGAACTGGAAAGAAGAAAGTGTATGTTGGTTATATGAGTGCCCCTCTACCGTATGCCATTGAAGAGAATTACGGTGGGTGCTTCTTTGATGACGACGACGATCTTGCCCAAGTTCTTCAAGATCAGGCTGGGTACTGTTTCCTGTGGTCTTTTTAATCGGTTGTGCAATGGCCATGTGTTCCCCATATGTGCGCTTCTGATACTGTGGGAAGACTAAAGAAACTTAGTCAAAATTGTTCATTAATGTTTTTTTTTGAGGAATTGATCCTAAGCACTGATTACATTGGTACGGTATTGAGTCCTAGATCCATAATGGGCTGGTTGAGATGTTATAAAATAATTATTACTGTTTTGCTGATAATATTTATTCACACAGCTTTGTCATGTGTAAGATAGACAATTCATAAATTTCTGTTTCACTAGGGCGGTATGCTTGGAAATTTGAGTTCTGAGCTCAAAATTAGAATCTACAGAATACCATTTTCATGAAATTCGTGACAGTGTATTCTTATTTTTTGCTATGTGCTGCTTATGACCATTGTTATCCTTTGTACTGCAACCGTTCAGCATCATTTTGACAAATATGACCTTAAATTAACTTGCCTGTTCATCCACCCTCTTCAGGAAATATTGTATCAATTAATTCAAGGAAGTAATGGTAGCGGTTCATCTAGAACTCATTCGACTCCAAGTTGTAGCTATGGCCATGATCGGACATCAAATGAACAAAAATCATCCGGGGATGTAAACTATGAGTTGCAACTAGCAGTTGATGAAGCTTTAGCTAGAGAGTTGCAAGAAATGGAGGGCAAACTAGCCAACACTTCACTTAATGACGATAATGGTTAGTTGCATACTCTATATTCTTTGGTGTTGGAGTCAATTTGTTTCCCAGATTAAGTGCTAATCTGTTGTCTCAAATACCTTTACAGGAAGAAAGCCAACATCATCTTCAGCGTTTGATAGAGGCAATAATTCTGCAAGTAGACCTCCTCAGGTATACATTTCTGGCAAGTATTTTGGACAATCAATACACACTTCCATTTATTGCCAATTACCAATGTACAGGTAGTGGAGGAGGATGGGATTGATCCAGATAATATGACTTATGAGGTGTGTTTGTTTTGTCTCCTCCCTCCTTTTTTTTTGTAGCTATGCTTCTATAAGTGGCATGTGCCAGGTAGCTTTTGGTTCTGATAACCGATTCGTTTTGTTAGGAGCATATTCTATTTTATTGCCACCTTGTGGCTATCGGCATTATAGAGATATGTGTTGCCAAGTATTAAAGAAATGGGATTTTCTTTTCATTTATTTCATTTGATTTCAGGAACTGCAACAGTTAGGGGAAGCCATTGGAACCGAAAGCAAAGGGCTGCCTGAAAGTGTCATAGCACTCTTGCCAACTTCAACTTACAAAATTGGAATATTCTCAAGAAAGGAAAAACATGATGAGTACGTTTTTAAGCTGATTAGGATATTTATTTTTCCGTTTTCTTGCTCAACATTTTTTATGTTTGGAAGTGCAGTGGCAATACTGATTAGTTATAAGATTTGAAGAATATGTTTTCTAGTTGTTTGTTGCATACTATGACACTGCTACCAGGTGTTTATCTATGTTTGTACTGTATTAACTTATGCTATTTAAGTAACAAACCATTTTGCCACTAACTCTTTTGTACTTATGCAGATGTGTGATCTGCTGTATGGCATACAAGAACCGAGATAGGCTTACTAAATTGCCCTGTGGACATCAGTACCATCAAGCTTGTGTCGCTAAATGGTTACAGATCAATAAGGTAAGTTACCTAGACACCTAGTCTTTAGCTTTTTTTTAGTATGTCTCCCTCTCTTCCAAACTATAGGTCGTTTTGGCTTCTCTAGATACATAACGTATATATAAATGCATAACAAAAGCTATGTATCTAGAATAACCAAAATGACCTATAATTTGGGATGAAGGGAGTAGTACATAGGTTGGTGGTACAACTTCCATCCTTCTAGGAATCGTTGTAGTTCCTGTGGTTCCTGATCAGTTTACTTGTGTTGGAATTATTTATTAGGATGAGTGCAGATTTGGTGGCCTCGTTAGCTAAAATACTATGTCGCAATGTTTCAAAAAACATCACAAAAATCATGTATTTGTAGTTGTGTACACATAAAGTTTAGTATAGCCGCAACAATTCAGTTTGAAATTCATCCTAGATGTCAAGAAACAAAATAGACAAGCAGTCAACCTGGCACTGTTCATCATGTGCTGACAGTGACAATTCTGTTTTTTTTAATCTCAACATCAAAGATGAATTTTAAACTAGTAAATTGTTGTGGCTACACTTAACTTTAGGTGTACTACATAAATGATTTTTGTAATGATTTTTGAAACATTGCAACATGGCATTTTAACTAACGAGGGCACCATATAACTTTCCTATTAGGATTTAGGAGTATGAAAGCTACCGTGTCTCGTAACATGTCATCGTTTTTGTATTGCACATCAAATTTGCTTGCCAACTGTAGTATATATCTTGAGCAATGACCCGAGGTTAAACGTGATGTAGAAATCTTACAAGTTACACCTTCGTTTCATAGTATTTGAACGGTCCGCATACCAAAGACTAAGAGGCATAATAGCTAAGTAATCTTTTTTACAGAATCAGATTTTGTCATTCGTCTAATGGAGGGCCTAGGAGAGGGCCCAGGCCGGCTAGGTCTGGGCTGACCGCGCCACCAGGAGGGGGGCGCGACCAGCGGAGGGGCGGCCTCCCGCCACGCCGCCGACATCCAGATCCGGGAGGATAGGATCTGCTTGCTTGGAGGACAAGATTAGATTGCTTAGAGGCTAAGTCTCCTAGGAGTATAAATACAAGGGCGATGTAACCTTTCAATCTTAAGCAAGAGTATAATTGGCCAAGGGCCTTCTATCCCCTCCTCTCCCTTCTAAGCCTCGGTCCTCTTCCCCTGCGCCTCTCTCTCTCCCCTGTGCCGATGACTCTAGTCCCCCAAACCCTAGCTACCGCAGCCTAGAGCCCCTTCCCTTGCCGGGCTCTGACACTGGTATCCGGAGACCAGACCGATCCGATGGCCACCACCACCAAGATCATCGACATAGACACTATCTGGAACAACGCCCACATCATCATAATCAATTGGCGAAACTAGGCGACAAGTTCTTCGCCGGCAACACCAGCAGCAGCCTGCTGCTGCCCGACGCCGTCGCACCCTTGTTGCCCACTGCACCCCGCAGCGACCATGCAACAAGCAGCGTCGCCGCTAGCCTTCCCTGCAGCGGCCTCGCCACCAAGCTGATGGACAACGACGCTCGCCTGAGCAACAACGAGCATGCACGTTCCGAGGACCTTGACATCCGCAACATGACCAATCGTTGGAAGACGATGTTTGACGTGTTCTTCGCTCGCACCGACAATTCTCAGCCAATAGCAGATCCACCTCAACCAGAGATCCCCACTCCGGAGATCACGTACAAAGGAGTTGGAGCAACCGTCTTCCTCAAGCCTTATCAACGATCAAGCAAAGCCGCAGCGCGAGGACGCGCTGCCAGGAGAAGGGGGAAGAGATGTCATACGTCTAATGGAGGGCCCAGGAGGGGGCCCAGAAGGGCTAGGTCTGGGCTGACCGCGCCACCAGGATGGGGGCGCGACCAGCGGAGGGGCGGCCTCCCGCTGCGCCGCCGACATCTAGATCCGGGAGGATAGGATCTGCTTGCTTGGAGGACAAGATTAGATTGCTTAGGGGCTAAATTTCCCAGGACTATAAATACAAGGGCAATGTAACCTTTCAATCTTAAAGAGTAGAATAGGCCAAGGGCCTTCTTTCCCCTCCTCTTCCTTCTAAGCCTCGGTCCTGTTCCCCTGTGCCTCTCTCTCTCCCCTGTGCCAACGACTCTAGTCCCCCAAACCCTAGCTGCCGACACCTAGAGCCCCTTCCCCTGCCGGGCTCTGACAGATTTTCATGAAGGTAGGTGCGCATGCGTACATTCATAGGGTTGAGTGTCGCAACTATATTAGGCATTTAGGCGTTCTTTATGGCTATATAGGTTGATCATTTGGTTTTTTTCAATTGAAACTCAGCACCTCAAACCCCTGGCATTTTCAGACCAAATGTTTCTGCTTCTGCATTTTCAAATTTGCAACCATGTTAGTAATTTTTCACTTCTTATCCTGAGAAAGCATGGTCTCTGCTAAGCCTTTAGTGGCATGCATGACGCTGCAGGTATGCCCTGTTTGCAATAAGGAGGTTTTCAGCTAGTAAAATCAAACAGTGCAGATTCGTGTGATGGCCAGCTCCAGCAACTGTCTGAAGTACTGCGTAGATGTGCATTATTTGTATAAGCATGCTGCACTGTTGCTGGCAAGTAATGCACTAATGCACCGCATTGCTCAAGGATCATAGCACGACCAAATTAGTGATATCTCGAACAAATGCAATAAGATCTCTGCTTTTTGAACTTTGGGACATTCAGACTTGGTGCCACACACTAGTCCTTTTTTATCATCTCCTATATCATGTATATTGGTCGTTCATTTCAGTACTTGGCTCCAGTTCTTTCAGCATACTGTCTGGAATGTTGCAACTTGTATTAAAACAGTGACAAATATGGAAATTTAGGCACTGATGGTTTTTAAAAAGTAGCAGCCATTGTGTTTAGCAAATGGTCAGAATGTTGGAATGTTCTGATTTCCTCACAGCCAACCATTTTGGACTATGTTATGGCTGCAGTAGCAATTTATCTTCTTCAGTAAGATCGGTCGTTCCACAATAGGATGGTTTCAGGTTCATGGATGGAATTCAAACTTATGGGTCAGTATATGATTTGAAAATGATGGTGTTCCATGAGCAAGCAGCCCATGCATGGACAAACTTGTGTGTTTCTACGCTACGTTACAAGGCAATGCTTCTTTTATAATACTTCAGGAGACAGAAAGCACGCCACGAAACCACGCGCGTCACGCTCATCTGAAAGTTGATGCAACGAACCTAATGACGTAACTGACGCCTTACCATGCACAACGGAAATTGAGCCAAGTACGAAGCTTATTGTAGCTAGCTTTGTTTGGCCGTCAGTTTATTGAGACAATCCTGACGCTGCTCTTGACAAACTGTCATGGCGACTGCTGGATTGTAGATAGACTCTCGAGTCATTGTCCAAGTGTGGCCCTCAGATCCTGCTAATTTCATCATTCATGTGCAGCCAAGATAGCTACTATTGTTTCTAAGGAATGCAGTAGTAGGTGACGTATGGAAGTTTAAGTGGTGACTGATAGCAAGATTTTGTGAAACTTGGGTTTGCTTAACAAACTAGACTAACAGGTGATGATGGATCAAGATCCAAATCCAAATAAAGAAGCCCAATTAAAAATCTAGAGATAAAAAGAAATCCAACTTAGGTTCGAGGATGAGTACTCGTTTTATCACAAGGATATCGCATGGATTTTGATACGATCATCGAATCACACTACTTATCTATTCTGTTTAAGAGGATTAGAGAGGTGACAGATAAAATCATTTCATTTCTTAAGCCGTAAAAATTGTTCTAGTTTAGAGCTAAAAATAGAATTAGCCAGGACTATCCAACTAACCAACACCTCCAACTGAAGTCCATTTGAATGGTCCGGCAGAGGGAATGTTAAATATAATGAAGGCATGACCCGGAAGTGGATAGGGCTGCCACAGGCCCAAAGGGGACGGGTCCCGTGGCCGAATTTTTTATTTTTGAGCTTTTTTTTTTGAAAAATTTTCACAAATATGTCCCAGAGGTATGATTTTAAAATCTGGACTCTTAGTTCGGCACCATTGTTGCTGGCGCCAAACTTACACATCTCGACTCCATCGTTGCTAGTGTCGAGGTCCTAGGCTCGACGCAGATGTGGCGGTGACTTGGCAGGCAGCTCGGCGTCGTAGATCATGACGTCGAGCTCGGCGCCAAGCTTGGCGCCGTGGTTATTAGCGCCAAACCCATCTTACGTATAGGCCCTCTCTTCCTTTCTCTCTTCCTCTCTCTCTCGCCCGAACCAGCGCACCGCCGCCGCCGCCCGCGCCCTTCCCCGTGCTCTCGCCCGCGCCCTGGCTCGCCCGCCGTGCCGTGCCGCCCGCGCCCGGCCTCGCCGCGTGGAGCGCTAGCCATCCCAAGCCCGCCCCCGCGCCACCGCCTACCCCGGCCGCGCCACCGCCGGCCCCGGCCCCTGTAGCGCCTGGCCGTGCCGCCGCCGGCCCGGCTCGTCGGCCTCACCCACGTCCGCTGCGACTCCGTCGACGTCCGCGACTTCGTCGTCGGACAGGTAAAAATTATGAATATGCAATGTACGTCCTTAGTTTTGATTATAGTGCAGTAGTTTTGGCATTTGTTATTTATTAGTTAATGTGATGACTCAGGTAGTTGATTTAGTTAGTGATCTAGTGAGATAGATATGTAGATCCACCGCGTCTCTTCTCTATCATCTCCTTGTCCTCTGCCTCCCACCACAACGGTTTCTGCATCCATTCCTTGTCTTCAGGCTTGTTCTCAGTGTCGATCCACTCCTCAAAATCACAGAGCAATGGAGGGGTCTGCAAAAAATGCAATTGTTACAAAATAAAAAAATCATGCAGGATGTCGTATGACACAAACATCAATTCCTCACCATCTTGTTAATGCGGCGCTGACGAAGCGTAGGTTCAAACGCAAAATTGAAACACATCTAATACCTCTGCCTATACGTGTCATCTTCATCAGACTTGGCTACCTTGCAAGGATCGCCGCAAAAGCACATGGGCACTAGAACACCACTAGCAGAGACAATGGGAACAAGATATTTCTGGTCATCCGGCCATAACTACAATTCAACCAATTTCGTTCTAAGAACCGAAATCAATTAACATCCATAAACCTAGGTTTTCCTATTTAATGCACAACAATGAACCCATAATATAACAATATGCAATGAGGTTACCTTGGTTTGCTAGTAAGGCTAGATAACGGGCTGGCTCGGCTCGGCTTGGCTCGGCTCGTTCTGCGGCTCGTTAAGATAACGAGCTAGCTCGGCTCGACTCGTTAACCTAACGAGCCAGAAAGCCAGCTCGGCTCGGCTCGGCTCGGCTC